CATGGCAGCTCTGCCACCAAGTAGCAGCTGCACCCCTCAGCATCATGCCGGCGTGCCGAGCCCACTCCGCCCGGTTGACATGACAAAGGGAGAGGTATTCCTCCACTTGGAAAAGCCACCGTCGCACTGGTAAGTGACGTTTTCCAGGGATGAACGGCTCAGGTTCAGGTGCTTCGGGTCGTGCAGAAACCACAGCAGGTGCTGGCGTCGGCACATGTGTGCCCAAGAGTCCACGTTCCTGGAGTTCGCCGAGGATCCAGTCACGCACCTCGCGTTCAATTTCTCGGCGCATATTCGCCACAAATTCATTCCAGAGTTCCGGCGTCATATCAGACGGTCCGGCCATAGGGTCTAGAATATGGCGGGAGCGTGCAAAATAACTAACCAGCTCTGATTACCAGTGAAACGTTGCTGGCAGGGAAGTAGCAGTCTTAGTAGGCTAGGAAAATGAGGATAGAGTGCTCTCTGGAGTTCTCTGGAAATTGCACTATGACTTCACAAATTTCACAGTACAATTTTATAGAGCACATTCAAATATCGAGTCGCACTCCCAAGTCGCGACTCTCTCTGAATTTCTCAATGGTAACCCAGCCCCTTTGAAATGAACCTGCCGTGAAATTCAGAGAATAATTGCGGTACGGGATTGGACGGCGAGCTTGGTTACGGGGCTGTAATTTCGTCGGTGTTGTTGGCGAAGTCGGCGAGCGGTCGGAACTTCGGTGTTCTGCGTTTCGTGATTTTCGCGCGAGGGTTTGTGTTGGGCTGCGCGTCAGGACCTGGTCGCCCAGCTGCAGGTTGAGGTGTTTGACCAATACGAACAGTTGGTGAGGTGGCGCTTGACTTCCGCCCACCTGCACTGTACTTGGCAGCATTCGGCTGCCACACTGTTACAATAGTTGTGTGTTTGGAGAAAATCCATCCAATCCAGTTGGTTATTGAATGATCTAGTAGGAACTCACGCGAGTACGGTTGAGTGTGAGCTGGAGCTTTACGTACATATTCTAAATCGGTTAGTCACGGTTCGGAGTGAAATAATTGTCACCACATCCTATGATGGGGGGACCGATCATCTCACTCACTCCGTGCAGCTGTGGGTCACTCACATCCACTCTCATAACCCCTCCCACTCACCTCACCACTTCCCACGCATTCGCGCTGCGAGGGCACAAAGACGGCTGGCGTAACATTCAGAATTCAGGTCTACGGAATTAGTTATAACTCCTTTTTTAGCAGGGTGGATCAGGTGGCTGCCACCGCACTAGTGGCCCTGGTAATGTCTTTGGCCTAAGGGAAGCCCCATTTTCATGAATTTCTGACAATGGAGAAGCGTGAGGTGCATGCTACAAGTGTTGAATCATACGACAACCATGTTATCATGAAGAAACCACTTTGGGGTTCCGATTGCACCAAAAGGGACGCACGTCACAACTCACGACTTGCTACCAGTAGTTGTCTGTGATACATACGAAGGGAGGAGGACAACTTCGAAAACTGCAACCTTGACTTGAAGGACCTAGAGTGCGCCGCATCGTTTCTTAGATTCAAGCTACCCAAACAACGACCAGCAAGTCCACACATTCGTTGCCTCCTACTTGGTGAGCATCCCATCAAGAAGCTCTGCCTCATCATCCATGGTGCGCCCAGGTCCATAGTGCCTCCCCCAGCCTCTTGCAGCTTAAGCACAAGTCTGTGATTGACAAGCCCACACATTCGTTGCTTCCTATTTCTTGGATGCCCCATCAAGAAGCTCTAGCTCATCATCAGGAAGATAACCATAAGGTAAAATAATCGCCACAGAGATTTTCCGTTCGACGACTTTCGCATGTGCTGGGCGAAAACATCTGGTGTAACATCCAATCAATGAAAACGACAACTACACCAGAGCGTTTGATATAAAAAGCTACAAATACAAAGGTTGAGATTGAAGCCTAGTTGCAACACACGTTAGACATGACGGAATCAGCGCAATCTCATTAATATGCGAGTAAGTCAGCGAGCCACCCCATCATCAAGAAGCTCAAGCTCAGCATCCATAGTGCGCCCAGGTCTAGAGAATCTTCCAGCCTCTTGATCAATCTTCAGTAGCCTCGACTCCCTAATCGACGCCTCACCGCCTAAAAATTCCGTTCTAATCGCGCCAAACTGCGCGACAATTTCAGCCATGTGCGGGCGAGAGGAGGCCGGCATGGATGTGCATCGGAGGGCGAGTTCGACCAGTTTCAGTACAAGCGCGTTGGGCACGGAATCCTGATTAGGATCTTTGATGGCTTCGATGTCGCCTGCTTGCACACGTTCTTTGACCTGGGAGATGTGGACAAATGCAGACGGGCAAGCAAGTGTGACAACACGTAGGGGATTTTCCAAAAATGATCGACTGGGTGTGGCCATTTCTTGCATGCTGCTGGATGGAAAGCGAAAGTATGGACAGGTTTAAAGGCATGTATGCAAGAGGGCAACTGCACTTATGTGAAATTGCAAAGAAAAATCGCTCGCATATACATGAAGTGGGTGTAGATGAATAATCTGATTATGCTGCACACACACTTACCCAGTCTTTTATGTTCACTCCGTGCATCACGACAGGCTTGGTGAGCAGGATCTCAAGCATCATCACACCGAAGCTGGAGATGAAGGGCAACGGGTCAAAAAAAAAAAAAAAAAACTGATGAAAGAAGGGGAATTGGAGGAAGCTGAAAATAGAAAACAGCCGACGGTGAAAAGAGTGGAAGGGGTTCAACAGGGTTTCTATAACACGCTTCGCCAGGCTTGGTAAGCATGACCTTAAGCATCATCACACCGAAGCTGTTGAAAAGGGGGGAAGGATTCAACACGTTGGGATTTAGGTGTGCTCTGAGTCTACTCAAAACACACCAGGCTTGGTTAGCAAGATCTCAACCATCATCACGCCGGAGCAGGTCACGAAGGAGGGTGAGTGAAGGAAATGGAAAGTGCGAAGGTGAAAAAAAAAAGAGCAAAAAAAAGAATAGTCAAAGGTGACCACGCTCCATGGCGCACTTACCATGCGCAAAAGAAATAGCAAAGCTTGTCAACTGCAAGTGCCTATAAGGAACCACTGATGTGATTTATGAGAATTGTAAAAAAAACAAATTCCAATATTGTCACTTGTAAGCGCCTAAAATAACAACTAATGGTTTTTTTGTTTTTTTTAAGTGTGTGTGTGTGTGTGTGTGTGTGTGTGTGTGTGTGTGTGTTTTCTTTCTTTCTTTCTCTCTCTCTCTCTCTCTCTCTCTCTCTCTCTCTCTCTCTCTCTCTCTCTCTCTCTCTCTCTCTCTTAAAAAACACGTTCAAAGCTCGTCAACTGCAGCTCCCTGTAAGGAACCATGGATTTGCCCACGCATGTTGGACCTTGGGGGAATGGGGGACGGGGGGCTTGATTCAACCCAACCCACCTGAAAACGTCAGCCATGGGGGTGGCTTTGTTGGTGCGCGAGTAAGCGGGGTCCACATAGCCCGGAGTGCCGACCACTCGGGTGGGATTCACTGTGGTGCCTTCTGTCATGCGCACCAGCCCGAAATCTGATACCTTTGGCTGCAGTGGTGGGGGGGTGGAAGGGGAAGTGAGGGCAGACGAGGGACCACTTAAAGTGCTTAAGAGAGCTGGCTGTATTTTAATTTGACTTTTTGAAAGTACACAATTCATGTACATCTTGCAGTTGCCTAAATGAGCAAAACCACAATAATAAAGGCTGCAACAAATCATAGATTGTTTCTCCCCACCCGCATGCGGGAATATCATCACGTATGGCTCCCCAACCGCACTTTAACGCACTCAACCATCACAACCACCCTCCCATGTACCTGCATGCGGGCGTCGAGCAGCACGTTGGCCAACTTGATGTCTCCAACCCATGCAACACCCTCCCCTCTCCTTCCCCTACACATACTCCACCATACCTGCATGCGGGCATCGAGCAGCACGTTGGCGGGCTTGATGTCTCGATGCACGATGTCAAACTGGTGGAGATACTCCAACCCCCGCGCCACCCCCACCAGCACATCCATGCGCTGCTGCAGTGTCAACGTGCCTTTTTTTGTTCCTGCATGGAAGGAGGATGGTGTGAGTTGTAGCTTAATAAGAAATAACACTTCTGTCTAGGATATCTTTGCTTTGAGATGTTTCATAAGGAAACGACTTGTTTTTGGTGAACACTTCAAAAGAGAGACAATATTGATATTTTGTGTGCAAAACCTTCACTTAGAACAAAAAAAGGTCGAAAATTGAGGTCGTAGCCTCCCAATCTTAACCACATTCATACACTAACTATAGCCAGATCACAACGCGTTCGACATTAGCTCGTATAGATTAGGTTGTAAACTCTAATTGTATACAACATCCATAGGCTAGATTCAAAGGTGTAGCTATCCATCTATTGGGGGTTTGTTGGTGTACCCTCCAACCACATCTCGCTGGTGAAGATTGGTCCTGAAGCTTGGTGCTTGATAGGGACTTGCCAACTCTAGGTCTTTTGTGTCAAAATCTCAGCCATTACGCCACTAGAATAAAAGGGTTTGTTAAGTAGCAGGTGAGTTCCCCCATAGCCCCTCAGGCAAACGTGCCTGTAAGGATCAATAAAGCATCCCCGGTGCTGTATTTTTGACATTTAGTTTCACCAATTCCAACCAGCTGACAGTTATGGTTGCTTGAGTTACAAAAGAAATTATCAATTGACCAACTGAACAGCCAATAGACCAGCTTCCTCTCCACTCTTTTGTTGCTCCTCCATTGTACTATAGTGCCTCTTGGCTCCTTACCCCATGCAACGACCATCTGTCAAACAGACTGCTAACATATAGTGTCTTAAATGCCTCTCGAATGTTAACGTGCACAGGTTTTAGGCTATTTCGAGGTTTGACAAAACCATGACACATGTGCTAGGGTGAACTGTCAAGACGAAGGTTGACGAAGAGCCGGAACATGCAAGCGATTCCTCAATGTTCGAACTTAATTGGCCAATACTAGGGCAAATGTAACGCCCCCTTCAAGAAACTGCTCTCACCTTCACAAAGGTACTTGTAGAGGTCTCCGTTAACACAGACCTGTGAGGCACTGAGCGCAGAGGAGAGGAGTGGAGTGGAGTGGAGTGGAGTGTAGTGGAATGCGGTGGATTACTTATGAGCTGCATCAGCTCTCACCTTCACTGAGGTACTTCTCGAGGTCCCCATTGGGGCAGAACTCGTAAATGACGATTTGCTCATGGTGGTCTGTTGCCCTGTCAATGTCCACACAGTACCCCAGCAGCCGCACCAAGTGCGGATGGCTCTTTGATGCCATCTCCTCCACCTGTGATGGAAGGGGAAATAAAGAAATGAGCGGGAAGAAGAAAAAAGAGGTCAAATGAGCTGTCTCCTCCACTTGCGCAAGATAGGTAAAGAAACAGGAAAGACAGACGAGGCCGATAAATGTGCATGAAATAAATGAGAGCCTCTGATGGTTCTTTGATGCAATCTCCTTCACCTGCACGGGAATCGAGGGGATAAGAATATGCGGGACTCGACTTCGACGAGTTATAAGATTGGAAAAAAAAAAGGTTATTTACGCTACTTTTTGGTCGAGTTGAGTCACGTAAAAAACACTTGCCCACGCATTGATAACTGTCTGGTGGACCAATTCCTTTCTTTCCCTCCTTTTCCCACACACCTCTCGTTTGATTTCCACTGCTGAGACGTTTCAAAACCTTTTGCCTTGAAGCCCAACGCACCTCTCGCTTGAAGTCATTCGTCAGAATCTTGGCGCGCTTCACAGCCCACACCACGGAGGGATCATCGGGGCACACCCCCCGATACACCTCGCCATACCCGCCCGACCCAATATGATTCGCCTCGGCCCAGTTGTCCGTTGCCTTGGCAACTACACCTAAGGGGTATCGCTGGCACATGAGTGAACTGGTTGGTACAGATTTCTCTCCCTCCTTTGATGCTCTGTTGCCTGTGGGGAGAAAATGAGTGGGCATGGGGTGTGTGTACCAAGGGTACGAGCATAGGGTAGGGAATGGGTGGGCATGGGGCAACCACAGCTAAGGGGTTATCGTTGGCACATGAGCGACCTGGTTGGTACAGATTCCACTCCCCCCTTTGATGTTCCATCGCCTGTCGATGGCTCGTGTGTTGGGAATGGGTGGGCATGGGGGAAGCCAAGCTCACGGTGGTGGGAGAACTTCTGAGAATTCTCAACAGTGACTGTAGTGCTCCGCGTGGGCATGGGCAATGGAAATTCATCGAGAGGCAATGGTATCCATGCTGTGCGTCGGTGTCCGCGTGCATTGAGGTTATTTTTGAGGCGCCTCAAAAAGTATCTGTGCTGTGCGACGGGGTTGGACCTTCGCTTGTAGAGAAGCAGCATGGCAGCAGCGAGAAGACCAGTGGCAAGGAGAGAGAGGCAGTTAAGAAACCTTCCATAGTGGTGGAAAGCTAGAATCACCCCAACATCTACTACACTCCCACATCAAATAACCAAATGACTTTGGAGTCGACTCAAAAGTCACAAAGTGGTAGAAAGCTGAGATAATCCCAGCATCTATTGGACTGGTACATTGCATAACCAAAGCTTCACCTTCTCTGGACCTTCGTTTGTGGAGAAGGCACACGGCAATAGCGAGGAGTGCAGCAGCTAGGACACCTCCCAGCAACAATCCCAACGATAGCTCCCACAGACAGAGCAGAGGAGGGAGGAGGAGGAGAAGGAAGTGCGGGAGGAAGAGGTGAGGGAGGAAGGAAGAGGTGGGGGAGGAAGAGGTGAGGGAAGAAGAGGTGAGGGACCAACAATAGCTCGCACCTGCAGTGGAATTTCGTCTGCAGAAAAAGAAAATGCCGCCGGCAAGCAGAGCAGCAGCTAGGGCACCTCCCAGCGCAATCCCAACGATAGCTCCCACAGGCAAACCAGAAGAGGCAGGAGGCGGAGGAGGAGGAGGTGAGGGAGGAGATGGAGAAGACGGAGCAGGTGCTGTGGAGGGGGCATCAGGAACAGGAGTGCAAGTGGAGCAAAACTCGCTGCATGTCTGGCAGAATTGGGTGGAGCTGGTCTGCTTGACCGTGCAGGATTGCCCGGCTCCTGTGGGGCAGATGAGCCTGCTCCCGTCCAGCACACTGGCGGGACGGGACAGAGAAAGGAGTGTGAAAAAGGAGAGCGAGAGGATGGAGGAAGAGAAGGGAAGAACTGGGTGGAGCTGGTCTGCTTGACTGTGCAGGATTGCCCGGCTCCTGTGGGGCACACAACCCCGCTCCTGTTGAGGACACTGGGGTGAGGGAGATGCATGGGATGGGAGGGAGTGAGGGAGTCAATTCTTTAGTCTACTAAAAAATCGGCTCCTGTGGGGCCTGTCCAGCACACTGGGATGAGAGAGATACATGGGAGTGAGGGAGGCGATTTTGTAGTTGACTAAAACACGGCTCCTGTGGGCCACCTTTCAGCTTACAGTCTTTTTCTAGGCGGCTTAAAAAATAGGCTAACAGTGTAGAGACGCGAGTGAAATTCCCAAGGGTGGGCGGAACGATGCCAGATTCCAACCCCCCCTTCCAACCCCCCCTGCCCCCTCCCCCCCACCTTCCCCCTCCTCCACCTTGCAGCTTACAGGGCAGTGAGCTTCACGAGATTCCCAAGGGTGGAAGGAACGACACTGGAGAGAAATTCTTGAGGCGCCTTCAAAAATAGATTCTACACTCCCCCAAACCTTGCAGCTTACAGTGTAGTGAGCTTCATGAGATTCCCAAGGGTGGGAGGAATGATACCGGAGAGATTATTGTAACCAAGGACTCTGCAGGGTGATTGATTGATGTCATATGGATAGGGCAAAGGCGCACACATAGTAATGAAATCACTTTTGAGAATTCTCAAGAGTAATTTGTTCAACGATTGTAGGGTGGGTGAATGAGTGATGTCGTTAGGGCAAAGGAACACTCATGATGGTATTAGGGGAGACTTGAGTGGTTTGAGTCGTTAGCAAACACTCATGATGGTATTAGGGAGAATCGACGATGGCAATAGACTAGAGCGAATCAATTATGAGATTAGGGTGATTCTAATACGGTATAATGTGCTGCATAACTACTCCTCAGCACTACTCACTGAATGTCCTTTTTGAGACATCTCAGAAATGATTGGACAGAGAGGGCAGGTAGAGGACAGGTAGAGGAATGGCAAGGCAATGCATGCATCATGTGCCGCAGAACTACTCCTCAGCACCACTCAGCACTACTCAGCACTCCTCAGCACTACTCACAGGGTGTCCAGTCTAGTAAGGTTGCCAAGGCTGGTTGGAAGAGAGCCTGATAGCGAGTTGTTGGCCAAGTCACTAACGACGATGGAACAGGAAAGGGGGAGGGTGTAAGAACAGTTTGAATCGATCGAAGCAAGGATCAAGGGCGATGGCAAGTGATTAAGTCGTTTTCTAGAGTTTTCACAAGGGTAGAAGCAGTGAAATGATGAGAAGCAGATGCTTCCGAAGCACCTAATTAAAGCCGAGGGAAATGGGAGCGCCGAGTTATGTGGAGCGGAGCGGTAGGGGCAAATGGGAGGGAGGAGCCACGGGCAGAGCTTTACGGTGGTGAGAAGGAGAGAGACAGAGAGAGACACACAGAGAGAGAGAGAGAGAGAGAGAGAGAGAGAGAGAGAGAGAGAGAGAGAGAGAGAGAGAGAGAGAGAGAGAGAGGGACAGAGAGAGAGACAGAGGAGATGAAACATTATACTTGGATTAAGGGTATCACCGGATAAAACTGCATGCTTTGTACCCTGCCTGAATCAATACAAAGGACCGTTTGAGAGAGGGGACGAAACATTATACAAACCTAGAGTGACTCTTCACGTTCACATCTGCCCACCTACACACATGCATCTGTTTTTTTATCTAGGCGTCTCAAAGTACCCACCTATCGGCCAAACGTCAAACGTACATCTTTGTCAGAGACGTGAGGAGGCTTATATTGGAGCAGAAGGATCTGGTTAAGCCCTGATCGTGGGGGAGACTAAAGGCGGTGGAGGCAACGGAGGGGGGAGAATAAGGAGAGAAGGGGGCTCAGCTGTGATTTACCGTCCTTGCAACAAGAAACAGTCAAAAGGCACATGAAAGACACACCAATCAGCCATTTTGCGTTCTGAAACGTTTTTGAAAACACAAAAGGGTGAGCCTCTATGCATCGCAAGGGTGGTTTCTTACCTCTGTGCGTCGCAAGGGTGGTTTCTTACCTCTGTGCGTCGCAAGGGTGGTTTCTTACCTCTGTGCGTCGCAAGGGTGGTTTCTTACCTCTGTGCGTCGCAAGGGTGGTTTCTTACCTCTGTGCGTCGCAAGGGTGGTTTCTTACCTCTGTGCGTCGCAAGGGTGGTTTCTTACCTCTGTGCGTCGCAAGGGTGGTTTCTTACCTCTGTGCGTCGCAAGGGTGGTTTCTTACCTCTGTGCGTCGCAAGGGTGGTTTCTTACCTCTGTGCGTCGCAAGGGTGGTTTCTTACCTCTGTGCGTCGCAAGGGTGGTTTCTTACCTCTGTGCGTCGCAAGGGTGGTTTCTTACCTCTGTGCGTCGCAAGGGTGGTTTCTTACCTCTGTGCGTCGCAAGGGTGGTTTCTTACCTCTGTGCGTCGCAAGGGTGGTTTCTTACCTCTGTGCGTCGCAAGGGTGGTTTCTTACCTCTGTGCGTCGCAAGGGTGGTTTCTTACCTCTGTGCGTCGCAAGGGTGGTTTCTTACCTCTGTGCGTCGCAAGGGTGGTTTCTTACCTCTGTGCGTCGCAAGGGTGGTTTCTTACCTCTGTGCGTCGCAAGGGTGGTTTCTTACCTCTGTGCGTCGCAAGGGTGGTTTCTTACCTCTGTGCGTCGCAAGGGTGGTTTCTTACCTCTGTGCGTCGCAAGGGTGGTTTCTTACCTCTGTGCGTCGCAAGGGTGGTTTCTTACCTCTGTGCGTCGCAAGGGTGGTTTCTTACCTCTGTGCGTCGCAAGGGTGGTTTCTTACCTCTGTGCGTCGCAAGGGTGGTTTCTTACCTCTGTGCGTCGCAAGGGTGGTTTCTTACCTCTGTGCGTCGCAAGGGTGGTTTCTTACCTCTGTGCGTCGCAAGGGTGGTTTCTTACCTCTGTGCGTCGCAAGGGTGGTTTCTTACCTCTATGCATCGCAAGGGTGGTTTCTTACCTCTGTGCGTCGCAAGGGTGGTTTCTTACCTCTGTGCGTCGCAAGGGTGGTTTCTTACCTCTGTGCGTCGCAAGGGTGGTTTCTTACCTCTGTGCGTCGCAAGGGTGGTTTCTTACCTCTGTGCGTCGCAAGGGTGGTTTCTTACCTCTGTGCGTCGCAAGGGTGGTTTCTTACCTCTGTGCGTCGCAAGGGTGGTTTCTTACCTCTGTGCGTCGCAAGGGTGGTTTCTTACCTCTGTGCGTCGCAAGGGTGGTTTCTTACCTCTGTGCGTCGCAAGGGTGGTTTCTTACCTCTGTGCGTCGCAAGGGTGGTTTCTTACCTCTGTGCGTCGCAAGGGTGGTTTCTTACCTCTGTGCGTCGCAAGGGTGGTTTCTTACCTCTATGCATCGCAAGGGTGGTTTCTTACCTCTGTGCGTCGCAAGGGTGGTTTCTTACCTCTGTGCGTCGCAAGGGTGGTTTCTTACCTCTGTGCGTCGCAAGGGTGGTTTCTTACCTCTGTGCGTCGCAAGGGTGGTTTCTTACCTCTGTGCGTCGCAAGGGTGGTTTCTTACCTCTGTGCGTCGCAAGGGTGGTTTCTTACCTCTGTGCGTCGCAAGGGTGGTTTCTTACCTCTGTGCGTCGCAAGGGTGGTTTCTTACCTCTGTGCGTCGCAAGGGTGGTTTCTTACCTCTGTGCGTCGCAAGGGTGGTTTCTTACCTCTGTGCGTCGCAAGGGTGGTTTCTTACCTCTGTGCGTCGCAAGGGTGGTTTCTTACCTCTGTGCGTCGCAAGGGTGGTTTCTTACCTCTGTGCGTCGCAAGGGTGGTTTCTTACCTCTGTGCATCGCAAGGGTGGTTTCTTACCTCTGTGCATCGCAAGGGTGGTTTCTTACCTCTGTGCGTCGCAAGGGTGGTTTCTTACCTCTGTGCATCGCAAGGGTGGTTTCTTACCTCTGTGCGTCGCAAGGGTGGTGTCAAAAACCACCTGTGTGCTTTGCAAGGAAATGTATGCATACCCGTCAATATCAGATCATGCCATGCCACGTCATGCCATTCCATGGCATGCATACCCTGCATACCCTGCCTTGCGACACTCACATGCCATTAATGGTGCAATCACGGTCGCACATGAGCTATGTTGCATTGACATCATGCCATGCGTCCTCACATGTCGTTGGCACATTGGTACACTCATATCACATGCCATGCCCTTTCCAATGTGTTGATCTACTTGTCCATGCCATGCCATGCCATGCCATGTCGCACTCACATGCCGTTGACGGCGCCAAAAGGGTCGCATGTGATCCACGAGTCCATGCTGCATGGCATGCCAGGATAGGATACCACAAGCCATCCATCGGGTGGGGCATGCAATGCCATTGCACTGCCATGCAAGACGCGCATACCGTTGTGGACACAGCAGCACACTCACTCACATGCCGTTGACGGCGCCAAAAGGGTCGCATGTGATCCATGACTCCATGCTGCATGGCATGCCAGGATACCACATGCCATCAGGCACACCCATTTCTCTGCCACATGCCTCCAGAATTGCGCCTTGTTCAGCTGTCACATTGAACGATGTACCACCTCCCCCCGGTCCTCCGCCTGCCCCCCCTCCTCCGGGCGCTCCCCCTTGCGCTGGCGCTCCTCCGCCAGGCGCCGGCGCAGTGGGTGCAACGGGTGGCGCAACGGGCGGCGCAACGGATGGCGCAACGGGTGGCGCAACGGGTGGCGCAGCGGGCGGCGCAGCGGGCGGCGCAACGGGTGGTGCAACGGGCGGTGCAACGGGTGGTGCAACGGCAATGGGTGCGGGTGGTGCAACGGCAATGGGTGCGGGTGGTGCAACGGCAATGGGTGCGGGTGGTGCAACGGCAATGGGTGCGGGTGGTGCAACGGCAATGGGTGCGGGTGGTGCAACGGCACTGGGTGCGGGTGGTGCAACGGGTGGTGCAACGGCAATGGGTGCGGGCGGTGCAATGGGTGCAATAGGTGCGGGTGGTGCAACGGGTGGTGCAACAGGTGGTGCAACGGGCACGTTCCCCAGAGATACTTTCACCGCTTGTAGGTACCGCGCTTTCCTTGGAACAATGCTTCCATTTCCAAGTGCTCGTTTCTTTGGAATGTTTCCGTTTCCAGAGGCCTGTCCGGCAAACAGACTACTAGTGAGCAGAAGCCACGCGCAGACAACGAGAGCGAGAGGCAGACGAGGAGTTAAATGGAGATTTAGAGTCCCGCGGCGATGAGTTATTAGTAGCGGGACTAATGGCGACTCGCCCGCCTCGGAGGGTGCGGGCAGCCGCGAAACCAGGACTTGCGCCCGCCGCGAAACCAGGACTGGCGCTGGAACCATCATCAGATCTTGGAACTTGCACTTGGAGAAGAAACACCGGCGTTCATGGCGGCCCGCCATTTACTCGCAAAGGGAGCGGTTGTAAGCAAGAGCAGGGGGGATAAGCCGTGCCAAGTCACGGAGCTAGTGGTAAGCAGTCTTGTCAGGACTCAGTGACATGGCGACCCAGTGACGTGGCGTGCGACAGAAATCCGTCGCGCTTCAGCCTGAAGAGGTTTGGACGACGCGCGGCGTGATGAATCTTGAGAGAAGCCGAATCTCGAAAACAAAATAAACTCGAGACGTCAATGCTGGACACACGGTAACGTCCGTGGCGCTCTTAATGGCGGCTTTGAAGCGTCTCTCAGAGAAGGTGATTAACGATAACTCATTACCCTAATTTGTTTCCAATTAAATCGAACTGTACACATAGTACGCGTGAGAAACGGAACTGCGTCAAGTTAAGAGCGGCCAAAAAAACTGTCAGTCAGCGTTGGCGATTCGGACGAAGGATGAAAAACAAAATCCCTTGAGCTGCTTCTCGAACAACGAACCGCACGGGGTGCGCAAAAACGAGAGAATCTGTCCAGCTCACTGATAATCTCGTTTTTGGACACAGATCCCAGGTGAGCGCAAAAACGAGATTATCCGTCCTGCGTGAACTCACTGATAAGAAATCTAGGGTTACACCGAGGCATTCCGTTCCAAACGGAAGGAAGGCTGACGATGAGAGCATGACACTCATGAGAGCGACGATGTGGAAGATGAGGAGGCATTGCTTCACAGCAACAGGCAGGAATAGAGTACTCCCAGAGAAAGGCTTCTTCCTGACTGTCACTGTCTGACTGAAACCAGTGACTCTTTCCGGTTTGCTGCCGCCGATGTCCAGAAGTAGGACGCGGTCAAAGTGACTTTTCGGAGGATCGTGAGAGAATGTCGATTTTCACGATCGCTTTGGGGAGCTGATCGGTGAAACGATGCACACCCGGCGTTGCAACGATCGGAAAAAACTGTTGAGCCTTGTGTTCAATTCGCCGGGATCACTTTGGCGCGGAGAATTACCCGCTTTACAACAATTTCGTACACGCTCGAGTGTGAACTTCGCACTTCACATGGAAACCTGGTCGGCGAAAGGATAGCCTTGGGAAATGTGAAAATTGTGCGACTCATTTCACCCACTTAGCGAAATACTTTCACGTCGCAAGCACTTGGATCAGTCATCACTGTTATGTTTGGTTCGTCGGCATTTGCTTCCCAGCGGACGATCAGTCGTCCTGTCTGAATGTTTGTGTATTTTGTCTAAAATTATCACTGTAGCTGAGGTTACTTTTCTGGAACCAGAGTAACCGTGTCACACATTGATCGCGACAGACGATCGATCGTCTACTTTTACCGCGTCCTCAGGGGGAACTCTGCTGGGCATCAGGTTACCAGGATTTGTCGCGATCACGTGCGGAAAATTTTTAGCATTCATCGCGCAAGGCGATGGTTGCTGCGACTTTGTCGTCAGTCTGAAATGCATCGCCCTAAATGGGATGGTTGGGTGGCGTAACACTGTAACTTTGTGTTGCAGTGGGCCTTGACATGTCGCAAGCGAGCCTCGCTGATTGGCCAAATCTGAAGCGTTCCAGCTGGAAAACCATGGCTGGCATGGCACTTGACGAACTGCTCACGTAATATTGCCAGTTTCCGTTAGAAAAACAATGCCCGAATCTCCGTGCAACAAAGATGAGTGGAGCACAAATCACACAACCTCCGCCACACAATTGTCTAACACCAGCCACGGGCCATGGAATTCGCCAGTCATGATTACATGACCCATTCGTCCCTCTCTTGTTGCTGTTGCGGCTTACCAAATTGCGTCACAACACGAGCCGGCAGGATTTCGGGTCCAGGGTGTACACGTGAAAAATGCTAAGGCTACAAATGCAGCACATGATAAAGAGAGAAAATTATGCTCAAGCAGCAGTTACCTTTTGTGGACTAAGGATTCCTCAAGATGCAAGGCCAAAATACCTCAACATACAACCTACCATTCTGGCTGAAGGCATCAACATCACGAACAGTGGATGGAAAGAGAAAGTCCGTTAGGTGTAGAAAACAAGCCACGCTTTGATATGGGCAAAAGTGTCGAGATGTCATAATTAAGGAGCAACCTAGGCTAGGAGAAACCTTAGCTTAGGAGCATGCAGAAAGTTAAGAGAGAATAGGGGGGTTTCATTAATGGCGAGTACAAGACATTTCAAGGGAATGTGGGAAGGGAGGTACACCACCGACATAGAAATACTACAGTGATGCTACACTAACTAGGTATGCATGCAGTTACACAATAATGTATGATTTTAACACGAGAGGGCTGACACACGGACCATACAATAAATGTAAATTTTTGAAAGTGAAACACTTTCCAAATTTGTATATTGTGAATGTTACGAATAGTAATACTTGATATTACTATGCACTCCTCACCGTAGCAAAGCACGCGCAATATCGGGAACGAACGCGAAGCGTCAGACAGTTGGAATCGAGTCAAAGAGTCGAACGGTTACAGCACATCTGAACCGTCGAAAGCAAACGGCATCGAGCAACTGCAAGAAGGATGGTTTTGGCGGGAACAGTTTCGAAACTGTACGCGCCGAACGGTTGGGATGCATTTGAATAAGGGAATGTACCCCTTAGAGTACATGGCTAGTTAGGTCGTTTCGAATTCCCTTGTACTCATATATATATCGCTGAATTTGCATGATCTCATCATCTCAAGCATTTTATATTCACTCTGCTATTGAGGTCACGGGCCCACCAACACCACCCACTGTGTGCGAACCTACCAGAGCAGATCCTGGGTTACGATCAACTTCTGATCGCAACATGGTATGAGAGCGACTCTGGAATCCTTCGCACCATTACTACCGAAAATTACGACATCTGAAAAGTGGCGACCGGCACACAATCTCGCACGAGGATGGCCGGAGGATCTGGTGGTCAGACTAATCTAACGGCTGAAGCACAATCCAACCCGGCTGGGTCAAGCGGGAACACGACGACAATCGACTCCGAAGTTCTCGCACAACTCCTTCAGCGACTCACCAGCTTGGAGCAGGGACTCCAAACATTGCGGCATGGCGATGCGGGAACCTCCTCGCAACCCTCTCAACCGGCCCCGACTGGCCAAAACACCGCCCCGCAAACATTCTCCCTCGACACCAATGGCTCAACCCCTAAGACTCCCCGTCCCAGTGAAGAAGCAATTCTCTCCGCTCAATCAAGGTTTCTCAACATATCAAAAATAAAGACAAGTACCTGTTTTGACGGCAGAGACTTCTATACCTGGAGCTTTGAATTGGAGCTCCTACTGCAGAACGCCCAAATCTTTCACTACTTCGACGGGAGGTACGCGGAGCCTGCTGAAGACACCGACGACGCCAAAACGAGGTACTACAACGAATCATTGATGGCGTACGGAGTGCTCCTGCGGAACATGTCGGCGGCGGAGCAGCTCAACATTCGTTCGTACAAAACAACAGCTGCTCCAGCCCTCAACGCCTGGCGGCACCTGACGGGCGTGTATCAGCCCAAGGACTCCGTGTCTTCGAGCCGACTACTCCAGGAACTACTAGAGACCAAGATGACCTCAGGGGAGAAGGTCAACAACTATCTCAACCGCTGTCGGAGCCTTCGCGACCAAATCGTGAAGTTGGGAAGCACGATAACGGAAGAAATATTCGTTAACATCGTGCTTCAAGAGCTCGGCCCAGAGTGGCGGCCCTGCAAGGCGCTTCTCCGACAGTAGGGAGTCATCTCGGAGGCCTCCCTTTGCGCCGCCCTTCTCGTCGAACAAAGGGATATGGACCAGCAGCGACCAGCGCCACGACGAGAACGCGAACGGCTCGCCTTCTACGCCGACAACAACGAAGAGCGACGACCGAGGCGCCTCTACTGCAAAAATTGCAGAAACTTCGTGTCAGATTACTATAGCTGATGCATGTTTGTAGGCTATAGTGGGGTAGCACATGTGGGGTACAGCTTTCTAGGGTTGTATTTGTACCCAACCCTGACTTAGTCATTTTCATTCCTGTTTGCTTATTATCACATGGTATAGAGCGGGTCCTTCTAAGGACCGTTTTTTTGGGCCCACCGAAGCGCCCCCCGAGGCGCGATTTTTTTTTTAGCGACCCCTCGGGTCGCCATTTCCCCTG